GGCCAGGCCTCGAAGGGACAGCTCATGTCCTCAGAGGGGAGGCTGGGAGAGGGTTTGCAGGAGGCCACCCAGTGAACTGGGACTGGACTGGTGTTGACTCCCACCTGCGTGCCCGCTTCCTGAGCCTTATAGTCACAGCTATGCCGTGGGGGCCCCTCCCTCTGCCCTTCCCACCTCCCTGAGGCCTTGCGAGCCCCCTGGAGGAGATGACCCAGGTGGCCCTGCTTTGTACACTGTGGAGTCAGCTCTGCATTTGTGAGGAGTTATTCTAGGTGTCCCGTTTGCACCCCACCCTGTCGGAGGCTCCCAGAAGCCTTACAGGAGCACATCGGCCTCCCGGATGATCCCAGGGAAACCAGGGGGTGGGGAAGTAGCCGATCTGGGGGGCAGCCTGTGTCCCCAGATGGGGCTTGGGAGTAGAGCGCCCTGTGTGGTTGAGGACTCCTCTAAAACCAGCAGCAGGCTGCCCCTTCTTTCCCCGCCCCCTCCTGCCCACAGCACCCGCATCCACCCACGGGGCTCCCCTCAGCCTCCCAGGTGAGCTCCCAGCTGTGCTAGGCACAGGGCCAAGAGCTCCCCCCAAACCAGCTCAGTTAGCCCTCCTGTCCCCCACCACCCCAGCCCTCCCTCCCCCTTGGGACATTTGAGCCACACTTTGGCCTCCACAGCTGAAATTTGGAGGGAAACCCAAGAAGGTAATGCTCAGCCTCTGAGCCTAAGGGCTCTGACCCCGTGTTCCTTGTGCTGGAGGCGTGGAGTTTGGAGCCTTTCCCCAGATGCAATGCCAGCTCTGGGAAATGGGTCTAAACAGATGCCGGGGGATTCTGAGGTCCCTTCAGCTGGGCTGTGGGGGATGCAGTGACAAAGAAGCATGCTGCCTCCCCACTGACTTGTCTGGGCTTCAGCCGCCCCTGGGAGCTGGGCCCAGGGATCCGCCGCCTGCCGTCCCCCGCAGACAGAAACCGCAGAGGGCGGCGGCTCAGCGCGCGCTGTCTCCGCAGGGACCACGTCAAAATCGGGCACCGCCCCCATCCTCAAGTGCCCCACGCAGTTCCCGCTCATCCTCTGGCACCCTTCCGCCCGGCACTACTACTTCTGCATGATGACGGAAGCCGAGCAGGACAAGTGGCAGGCGATCCTGCAGGACTGCATCCGGCACTGCAACAATGGTGAGGGGCCCTGGGGATCGGCGGCGGCGGGGGGGGCGTGGCCTGGGGCATGCGCCGGGTGGCGACACCTAGTGGCTGAGTGTGGTGCGGCAACCCTGCTCTGCGAGCTGTTCTCCGGTTCGGGCCGGGGTTGTAGGAAAGCCACTGCGATGTTGCCTTTTAACCTTCTTCCTTGAAGAAAACAGTTCTGTCCTGCTCGGAGAAAATTGGGGAGATTGTTCTCAGAGGGGGTATGGTCGTTGAGCCCTTGGACCCTGCGGCACAGAATCACAGTCCCGATTCTGCCCCTTCCTAGCAACATGACTTGAGGAGACCAGCTTACCCCTCGGAGCCTGTATAAAATGGGGTAATAACCCCTCCCGAGGCTTAGGGTGTTTGTAAGGATTCACAGAGTCTGCCCAATGCTTGGTGTAAAGACTTCTGTTGTTTATTCATTTATTTAATTTCTTTTAAAAGATTTTATTTTTAAGCGGTATCAACCTGCAGTGTGGGTCTCGAACCCACAACCCCCAGATCAAGATTTGCACACCCCACTGACTGAGCCAGCCAGGCGCCCCAGGACTTCTCTTGTATCATTTGTTGCCTTACCCCTGACCTGTAGGGTAGCCTGGCAGTTCATGTCCTTTCTCAGGGCCTCAGTGTTCCCTTCTGTCAAGTTCTGAGGTCTCTTTCCACTCACTCATTTGTTCAACAGACATTTTTAGTGTCTGGGCGCGGAGGCGGCAGCAAGGGAGCCAGACCCGGGTCCTGCCCCTGTGCTGCGGGCAGCCCCGTGGGGGGGGGTGGGGGGTGCGCAGATGTTAAGCAGGAGGAGCAGCTGTGCCGGGTCCTGGGTGGGAGCCACCCCGAGAGCCTGGAGGGTGTGTATGTGCTGGGGGCTGCTGATCCTGTGTGTGCAGAGGGTGGGCAGCTGAGACCTGAAGGATGAATGGTCCTCGAGTAGGGGGAGGAGCATTCTAGCCTTGAGCACAGACGGCAGCCTGGAGGTGGGGACAGTTGAGAGGAGTTGCATGAAGCCTTGCAGTGGGGGAGGGTGACCCAATGCGCTGGGGGGCACTGGGGTCCAGTTCAGAGGGCCCTGCAGGGCCCTAAGGAGTTTGATCAAAAACGGGGACAGTGGGGCACTGAGGGTCTTGGTGCTCTCGCGGAAGGAACAACCTGTGCTGAAACCTGAACCTCCTTCTGGTGACCTGGCCACCGCCCCCACCCTCCCTGCCCGGCATGCCTCCTGTGGTGGGGGGTGGACAGCGTGGGCACCTGGAGGCCCGGCTGCCGGGCTGACTCGGCTCGCCCCTCCCATCCTGCGTTCTGCAGAGCTGCCTCTGGTCTGGAATCTGTCAGGTGGGAGGAACCGGGCCTTCAGTCAGGCCAACCCCTGTCACTTGGGCCAGGCCTTGCCACCCACAAAAGGTCTCCTATTCCCAGATCCCCTGGGGCTGTGGGGCCAGGGCTGGGCGGAGGCCATCTGGGCTCTGGCTGCCTGGCCTGGGCACCCTCCCCGCTCGTCCCTTCTTCCTCCCTCCCTGGCCCAGCCCTGGCCCAGCTCTGGCCCAGCTCTGCCCTCTTCAGGTTTCCAGGGCTAATGGCTGACCTGGCAGGGCCACCCCAGGTCGGGGGTGGGTTCCCCATGTGCACAATGCGAGGGTGCCAAGCTTGAGCTCGGTGGGATTCCTGGGAGGGCTAACTGAGCTGGTTTGGGGGGAGCTCTTGGCCCTGTGCCTAGCACAGCTGGGAGCTCACCTGGGAGGCTGAGGGGAGCCCCGTGGGTGGATGCGGGTGCTGTGGGCAGGAGGGGGCGGGGAAAGAAGGGGCAGCCTGCTGCTGGTTTTAGAGGAGCCTTCCTTCTACTCTGAGGACTGTGGGAAAGTTCTCTGCTTCCTCTAGCTTGGAGGCTGGGCCTGGAATTTGTGGAGCCTGGAATTGCTCACTCCGGGGGCTGCCAGGAAGTGGGGGGTGGGGAAGGAGGCCAAGCTGGGGGGACGCCAGCTCATCCCAAGGCCCCCCTTACATCCTGCATTCCTGGAGCAGCTGGGGGTGGCAAGAGGCTGTTGGGGCACTGAGCTGAGCCCGCAGGGTGGGCCTGGGCTCCGGAGGTCAAGGCCTCTTCCTGTCTGACTGCCATCCCCCTTAGCCTGCTGCTTGGGACTGAGGAATGCAGTTTCCTTTCTCAGTCTGACCCTGACGACCCCACAGGCAGGAAGTCTCCAGGTCTGGCTGGAGCCCGCCCCCGGTCCTCTGTTGGAGCCCTCCTGCTGCCATTCCCTAGCTGTATGTCCTCGGACCAGTAACGTGTCATCTCTGAGCCTGTCTCCTCCGTCAGGACAAGTGGGACTGAGAACAGCCATCCCTCACGGGGCTGTTTGAGGATGAGATGAGGGAATGTGTGCGAGGTCTCAGCCCCGGCCTGGTGTCTTGGTCTGCTTGGGCCGCCATGACAAAGCGCCACAGACGGGGTGGCTTACACAATTGTGGAGGCTGGAAGTCCAAGATCAAGGTGTCAGCAGGTTAGTTTTCTTCTGAGACCTGTCTCCTTGACTTGCAGATGGCTGCCTTCTCCCTGCCCTGTGTCTTCACACAGTCCCCGCTCTGTGTGTGCACGGTTTGCATCCAAATTCCCTCTTATAAGGACACCAGTCGTACTGGATGGGGACCCACCGTAATGACCTCACTTTACCTAAATTACTTCTTTAAAGGCCCTATCTCCAAATGCAGTCACCTTCCGAAGCACTAGGGGTTAGGTCTTTTTTTTTTTTTTTAAAAATTTTATTTATTTATTTGAGAGAGAGAGAATGAGAGACAGAGAGCATGAGAGGGAGGAGGGTCAGAGGGAGAAGCAGACTCCCTGCCGAGCAGGGAGCCCGATGCGGGACTCGATCCCGGGACTCCAGGATCATGACCTGAGCCGAAGGCAGTCGCTTAACCAACTGAGCCACCCAGGCGCCCTAGGGGTTAGGTCTTTAACAAAGGAATCTGGGGGGACACCACGCAGCCCCTAACAGCCAGGCCCAGGGGAAGAGCTTGGGAGGGAGACCCTGTCTTGTGTGAGACTCAGTGGCCCAGCATGCAGTGTAGAGCTGTCCTGAGGGTCTGAGCCCAGGGCCCAGGACATCACGGCCTCCTGCTTGCTGCCCCCGCCCCACATCTCGCCTGCCCCTGGGGAGCAGCCCTGCCTTGCTAGCACCCCCGGCTTATCTGGAGAATGTAAAGGCCCTCAGGTGAGATCGGGTGCAGGTACTGTGCAGCCCACGTTTTCCGTGCAAAACCTGGTCTCTGGGAGACCGTGCTCCTCCTTCCTCCCCTGGCCCGGATGGGCAGCAGCCACCTCGGGCTCTGCACGGAGCACCCCTGCTCTGCTGCAGTCACCCCTGCCCCACCTCGGTCCCTGAAACGCAGCGGGGAGACCCCCCTCTGCTCCCACCCCGTCCAGGGAGCTGCTGCTGCAGGGATGGCCCTGGGCCTGTTCCCCCGCGCGGACGGGCGCCGACTCCTGCGGTCAGCCGGATGTGAGGGGGTCCTCCCCACGCCCAGAGGGGCTTTCTCTCTGCGGGGATGACTCAGCCTGTAGTCACTGCCGTGGGAGCTGGGGTTTTGGAGGCACAGAGTGCCGTTTCCCCTTCCTCAGCTGCGGGGACACAGTGGTTGGGGGCATGTGGCCAGGGTGGCCGCCCCACTGCCTGGCTCCGCGCGCGTAACCCTGTTCTTCCCCAAGTCCGATTTTGCAACTTCCTGCCGCTTGCCTCCCCTGGCAGCCGCTCCCGGGGGCTGTGCCTTGTTCCCTGACCCACCTCGCTGGCAGGGGCAAGGGGGGCAGGCTCCCGCGGGCCGCCGCCGGCACCAGCAATAACACGAGTCCCGGACTGGCGTTTCGTAGTCGGACCGGGACACCGTGGCGAACGAGGCCGACGCGGGGCCTGCCCGCGGGCGGCGAGAGCACCCCGTCGCTGCTAGGTGCTGGGTTCTGCTCAGGGGCCCCTGCCTGACCAGTTCCCAGCCCGTTCCCACCCCGTTCCCACGGCTGCAGCCTCACCGGGTCTTTGTTCCCACTGTTCAGAAGAGGGAACTGAGGCCCTTAGGGTTCAGGGATCTGGAGCAAGACTTGGCAAGCTACAGTGCACAGCCCAGAATTGGGCCCATTACCTATTTTTGCAAATCAAGTTTTACCGGCTCGTTGGTTTCCAGATTGGCTGCCTTGGTGGCTCGGTGGCAGAGTGTGGTGGTTGCAACAGAGATCATCTGGTCTGCAAAGCTGAAAATATTTACTGGCTGGCCCTTTGCAGGGAAAGTTGGCGGGCCCCGCTGTAGACAGTAAGGGGAGGGAGTGGGACTGGAATGAGGACCTCGGGGTTCCTTGAGCACCCTCTCTGCTGTGCCGGCAGGGTGGGGTGACCTCGGGTCCGGGCTCTACCACTCACTGCCCTGGGACCCCCAGCCAGTGGCCTGACCTTGCCGCCTGCCTGTTGATCTGTGGAGTAGGGCTGAGGGCAGTTTGGGGTGGTTGGGAAGATTTAAGAAGATAAGGAGCATACGAAGGAGACTGCCTCGCTGCTGTCGGGGAGGGTTATTACCACGGTCACTGTCGTTGCAAACACGACCGCCACCCTCTCGAGGCAGTGGGACTGCAGGTGGGGGTGTGCATGTGTCTGCACTTGGGGAGGGGCGTTCGGGCAGTCAGTGGTCTTGGTGAAGGCCACTGGGCCATCTCACCGACCTCCTCTCTCCCTCCCTCTCCGGAGCAGGGATCCCGGAGGACTCCAAGGTAGAGGGCCCTGCCTTCACGGACGCCATCCGCATGTACCGCCAGTCGAAGGAGCTGTACGGCACCTGGGAGATGCTGTGTGGGAACGAGGTGCAGGTGAGGAGACTGTGGAAGTCACCAAAGGTCCAGAGAGTGGGGCCAGGCATAGAGACTCTGGGCTCAGGGTGCTCCCAGCTTGCAAGGACAGTAAGATCACTTTGGACAGGTGGAGAGACTTTATTCCATCATTTACTGATCACCTCTCCTGACCCGGGGGCTGGGGTGCTTCTGTGAATAAGAGGGATGTGGCCTTGGCCCTTACGCTCTATCTAGCAGGAGAAACAGGCATTTGACAAATAAACACACGTACTTTGTGCAGGTGAGGGGGGGGGGGAAGGGGGTGTCGTATTCCAGACAGGGAGGCAGCAGGTGCAGAGGTCCTGAGGTGGGACCCCTGATTCTGAGGATCCTGCAGGTCCCTCGAGCAGGTAAGCTGGGACCTGGGGGAATGATGCTCAGGAGAGAGGGCAGTGGAGACGTGGAGCCAAGGCCAAGTCCAGGGGAGGTGGGGCTTGGGTAGAATGCGGAGACGAACCTGCCAGCTGGACATGCTCTAACTCCTGCCCCGGCTTGTGCCTCCTGGTCCTAGATCCTGAGCAACCTGGTGATGGAAGAGCTGGGCCCCGAGCTGAAGGCGGAGCTCGCCCCACGGCTGAAGGGGAAACCGCAGGAGCGACAGCGGCAGTGGATCCAGGTGGGTGCGTGCGGGCGCGGAGGCGGGGGTGCGGGGCCTGCTTGGCACCCGCAGTCTGGCTCTGACGCCGCCGCGCTGCCCACAGATCTCCGATGCCGTGTACCGCATGGTGTACGAGCAGGCCAAGGCGCACTTTGAGGCGGTGCTGTCCAAGCTGCAGCTGGCCCGGCCAGCCATGGAGGCGACCATCCGCACGGACATGGACCAGATCATCACCTCCAAGGAGCACCTGGCCAGCAAGATCCGAGGTAGGCCGGCCACCTGCCGCGCTTCAGGGGCCAGGGCGGACCTCCCGTCTGTACTTCTCACGCTAGTGACTCGATTCATTTGGTCATTTTAAAAAATGAAAGCAAACCTGAGCCGTTGCTCTTCCAAACTCTGGGAGTTGTTTTGTAGCTATTTCTGCAAACCCAGACCTCAAAGATGTCCGTTTGTTTTGTCAAGGAAGTTCAAGCGTTTTGCTCAGCATTGGAGGGTCACGGACTTGACCGTTGGTTCGTAGGCATCAGTTTAGCTGTGATGATTCACTCGGATCACGGCTCAGTATTCGGGGTTAGCCTGTGTTCCTTCTGTTCCCGGCCCCCTGTCCCCTGCCCTGCACATGGGCTGCGTGCAGTTTCCGAGTGTGTCAGTTGCCTGAGGCTCCTCCTCTCCTCCCTGTGCTCGTGAGCTGGATAGAACACAGAGAGCTGACTTTTATCTGGTGCAACAAACATTAGCTGGGCAGAGGAGAGGGACCTCATGACACCCTGGCGGGGAAAGGCCTTTGTCCAAGTGTCCTGGAGCTGGTCATGCCCAGGGGCCCGCTGCCTTGTACGTGGCCGCACAGAGCGGGGGCCGGCTCAGCGTGTGCAAAAGCCAGAGGCTCACGGAGTCTACCAGAGTGTGTTTTGTTAAACAAAGCAGCAAGACCCCTAGAGATGTTTCTTTCCACCTCGAGCGAAGCAGAACAACGCTGACACCTTTGGATGAGCCGCGCTCTTAGTTCCTTGCCCTCAGACTTTTAGAAATATCAGGGGCCAATCTCAGAATTGTTCTGAAATGTTCTCTTTGATGCATGGATCTATGAATCATTCAGTTTGTTGGCATCACAAGTGGTTTTCTTTAAAAGCTAATATGATAGCGAGTCTGTGGGCTCCGGGTGCCATCCGCTCACCCGGCTCCCTCTGGGCGCAGCCTTCATCCTCCCCAAGGCAGAGGTGTGCGTCCGGAACCACGTCCAGCCCTACATCCCGTCCATCCTGGAGGCCCTGATGGTGCCCACCAGCCAGGGCTTCACCGAGGTGCGGGATGTCTTCTTCAAAGAGGTGACTGACATGAACCTGAACGTCATCAACGAGGGCGGTGCAGACAAGCTGGGTGAGGTGAGGCCAGGCCCCCTGCCCCGGGGACGGGAGCGCACTGGGCCTGGGTCCGCTCTGCCCCCGCCAGGCCCTCGCTGCGACTCAGGGTGTAACCTGTCACCAGAGGGTCTGCTGGAGACCAAGGGGCTGAGGGCGTGAGGCACTGGGGGGCAGCAGTCAGAGGAAAGGGGGATCGCTGACCCCCTCCACCAGGCGGGTGACACCCACGTGGGTGTCAGGTGCAGATAGAATGGATCCCATAATCTTTGCCCTCCTCTTCCACACCGCGAACCGAGGAGTACACAGACAGTAATTATTGTAGAATTTGGGAACCAGAAAAGACTTAGAGATCATGAGAAACTTTCGCCTGATTTTGAGGCTGAGGAATCGGAGGCTCAGAGAGGGTGAGCGACTTGCCCAAGGTCACACAGTGCCCCGGAAGGGATGAGAACCTCTCCCCAGGCACCGTGCTGCTGGACCATGCTCCAGCCTTCACACCCTCCTCCCTCGGGGCCTGGGTCCCCCCAGCTTACCCTGCAGGCAGTCCCTGTAGGGGGCCAGGCCCGGACTCCCAGGGCCTGGGCAAGCTGTGGGTCTGCAGGGCCTGCCTCCACTCTGGGAGCCCCGGCTCAGGTACCCGCTTCCCTACAGTACATGGAGAAGCTGTCCCAGCTGGCCTACCACCCCCTCAAGATGCAGAGCTGCTACGAGAAGATGGAGCCGCTGCGGCTCGACGGGCTGCAGCAGCGTTTCGACGTGTCCAGCACATCCGTGTTCAAGCAGCGAGCCCAGATCCACATGCGAGAGGTGGGCCCCAGCACCCCCCACATCCCACAGGCCCTGGCTCCTGGGGAGAGGCCCTGCCTCCTCCTGGGCCTCACGGCAGCCGCGCTCAGCCCCTCGAGTGCTCCTACCTGCTGGAACACCTGTCCCTCTGTTCACCTGGCTAATCTGGACTCCTCGTCCAGGTCTTGCCCTAGAGACCCCTTCCTCCAGGAAGCCCTCCTTGCTCCCCAAGCCCCTCCCTGCAAGGCCCAGGACCTCTGTTTCCTTGAGGCAGGGACTGGCCGGTGCCCAGCACTGTGCCAGCACACAGCAGACAGTAAAGATGGGGGGGAGGGGCGCCTGGGTGGCTCAGTTGGTTAAGCGACTGCCTTTGGCTCAGGTCATGGTCCTGGAGTCCCGGGATCGAGTCCCGCATCGGGCTCCCTGCTCAGCAGAGCGTCTGCTTCTCCCTCTGACCCTCCTCCCTCTCATGCTCTCTGTCTCTCATTCTCTCTGTCTCAAATAAATAAATAAAATCTTAAAAAAAAAAAAAAAAAAAGATGGGGGGGAACACGTAGGTGCACACACAGGCCGCCCCCACACCTCCCTACAGCCCTGGGGCACAGGCTCAGGAGCCCCTCCGAGGCGTGCAGGAAGGGGCCTTCACGTGCCCCGCGGTGTGCCCTGCAGCAAATGGACAATGCCGTGTACACCTTTGAGACCCTCCTGCACCAGGAGCTGGGGAAGGGGCCCACCAAGGAGGAGCTGTGCAAGTCCATCCAGCGGATACTGGAGCGGGTGCTGAAGGTGAGCGGCCTGGCCCCTGAGCCCAGTCCCCGGGCTGGTACCAGGCTTGCTGCCCCTATGGGAGGCACCGCGGACCCCCTGGCGTGGGCAAGGATTCCGAGGCTCGGGTCAGACCCCCGGGCTTTCGTCCCCCTGACCCCTCTTTTCCTGGCAGAAATACGACTACGACAGCAGCTCGGTGCGGAAGCGATTCTTCCGCGAGGCGCTGCTGCAGATCACCATCCCCTTCCTGCTCAAGAAGCTGGCGCCCACGTGCAAGTCGGTGAGCGTGCCCCTCCCCCACCCCCCCAGCCTCGGCAGCCCCTCGCCCCCAGCCCCCTCCCTCCACCCGCCGGCCTGACCCCCGCCTCTGCCC